AAAGTAAGTTACAAACTCTTCATGGATACACCACCTTGTAAAACATCTATTGTGGCAAAAATACCAACACTGCAATACTGAGAGGTTCTGAAGACATAATTATCACTTTCTCTTGCAGGCTTTGTGCAGTATCTTCAGTACTACTATCAAAGTGGGCGTCTCTACAGGCTAAAAGCACTGGGGGAAAGACTCAACTTGGACTTGATTGTTGGTAAGGATTTCTGAGTTTACAGGATAGTTTAAAGAAATCTGAGAGTGTAAAGCTTTTATATCAAATAGCTTTTTGTTTACACAGAGGGATTTCAGTCGTGGATGTGGCGGGGACTGACATTTCTTCTTCCCGTTCTCTTCCTGGGCCATGTAAAGTATTAGTTTTTTTCTATAGAATGTATTATTTGTCATATTTAAAGAATAAAGCTTTGAAAATGGAACAGCATATGAAATGCCATAAGAAAGTAATAATTGACTGTATATCTTGGTCAATGTGTCACAGTTCTGGCAGCTTTGGAACAGTATTTCTCTGTTCAGAATGGCTCAGATCCCTGAATGTAAAGAATGGCAGGTCAGTTTTGTTTTGTAAACCTTTCCAAAACATCACAATAAAATAATAAGTTGAATCCACTCACTTACCTAAGATTATGAATAAATCAAGACAGTGATCTTGAAGTTGCAATTACTTTTTACTGCAGGTGTCCATGTGTGGCTTCTGCTTTCTGGTTCTGTTTGTGGGAAACTTTTTCACTACACTTGCAGTTGTCCGTCACAAGCGCAAAGACCAGCAGAAGACCCAGAGTCTGTGATTTTTAAGAGTTCAACTAAGTCAACAGACATATGTATTTTTACAAAATATGCAGATTTAATTTAATAAGGGGTCTTGCATAATAATCCATCTTGAATGTGTTTATTGTCTTTCAGAGAACATTCAGAATGCCTTTTGTGTTTAATAAAGGACTACAAAGTGGGATGATCTGTATTAAAGTTGTTTGTATTTAAGTGGAATTTGTATAATTTGGAATTTGAATTTGTACTTGAATAAACTATAAGAATGAAAACTGTAATTTGTTTTATGTGAAATTGATTTAGTAATTAACCTTATTTTAATTAATGAATTAACTTATTTCAGTAATAATAATAATGTTACTTTTGTCGTATTAATATTGTTTATTACTCGATTTAAGTAAATTATATACGTATTATTATTATGATTAATAATTCAAGCAGTGAAGACTCGCGTGGAGAGTTAAATGACCTAAGATGAACTCATTTTCCCAGCATTCCTGTCATAACAATATGGCGGCGGTCTTCGACATGCAGTCGTAAAGTTAGCCTGTTATGTATTTGCGACATATGAAGTTAGAACCTTGGCAGACTGCTGTTATAAATTTATAAACAGTGCCTTCTGTTTGATAGACCACAGAAGTTGTTGTTTTTAGCGCTGTTATCGTGTTTGCTGTATTCTACAGTCGGCGCTGCGATGTCAGGTGGGTCAATATTGCAATACATGGCTGATAAGTGACCAGCAGAACCGATAGAAAATGAGTTAAATTAAACTGCTAATCATAGATCATAGTTTAACATTACGGCAATGCTTTAATTGCACATGCACTCATTTGTGCACGGCACACACTCATTATTCTGGCTCGTACGATCGTACCTTTTTCGTCTAGGCTGTGTTTCAAAACCTAGTGAGCTTCCTACCTAGACAGCGTTCTTGGACAACCCAGGCGCCTTTCCAGTCTTTAAACGCTGCTGTAATGGTAAACATTCTGTCTAGGTAGTCAGCTCACTAAGTTGTGAGACATCGTTCGGTCCCACTTTATATTAAGTGGCCTTAACTACTATGTACCTACATCAAAAAATAAGTACAATGTATTCATTGTGTTCATATTGTTTGGGTAGGTTTAAGGGTGTGTTAAATTGTAAGGGATGGGTCAACAGTGTAATAATACATTTAATTACAGATGTAATTACATGCAGGCATTTTAAAATTTTATGTACAATGTAAAATGTATACAATAAGTGCATTGTACCAAATGATTCATTTAAATGTAAGTACATAGTAGTTAAGGCCACTTAATATAAAGTGGGACCCATTGTTCTATATCGATTGTCTATCTCATCAATAACTGATGTCGCTTATTGTTTGTTTCCATTGATCCCGACAAGTCAAGTGTGCAAACTTTATTCCCGTGCCTTCACAGGTGTTTTGAATGATGTTTGGGATTACACTGAGAGCTACCTGCTGACTGTGTGGCAGAATAGGTTATATGTGTACACTACTGCTGCTGTTCTCATAGGAGTCTGCTTTACTATGAACATGCTTTTCAAAAAGGTAATTAAGCGTGTTTACTCTTAAAGCCTCTCTGCTATTTATAGTATTTGTTAGTTTTTTTTCTTGGTTGCTAATAAATAATAAACACACAACCTACTTAATAGATTGTATTTTTCCTTTATAGAAAAAAACGGTCGACCCTGTAAGCCCTTGGCTTTATAAATCTGCAAAAAAGCAGGATCTTTCAGCTGAAACAGAAAAAGTCATTCATGTTTCTGGGGTCAAAGTGTTCTATGGATCACAGACAGGAACAGCAAAGGTTTGTATACACTGGTGATCAAAAGATTGGAATAATAGGGACGTTTTTGAAAGAAATTTCTTGCGCTCACTAATTCTGCATTTATTTGATTAAAACAGAAATATTGTGAAATATTTGTACAATTTGAAATAACTTTTCTATTTCAGTATACTTTAAAAAGTAATTTATTGCTTTGATACAAAGCTGAATCTTCAGCATCATTACTCCAGACTTCCGTGTCACATGATCCTTCAAAAATCATTCTAATACGCTGATTTGATGCTCAAGCGACATTTATTATTATTATCAAGGTTGAAAACAGCTGTGCTGCTCAATATTTTTGTGGAAACCGTAATATGCTACCATTCAAAAGTGTGGAGTAAGATTTTTTTAAATAAATATATATATTTTTTTTTAAATTCAGTAAGGATGCATTAAATTGATAAAAAGTGACAGTAAAACATTTATAATGTTAATGTTAAAAGATTTCTATTTCAAATAAATGCTTTTCTTTTAAACGTTCTATTCATCAAAGAATCCTGAAAAAAATTAATAATGTTTAAAAATGTTAAATTATTTCAAAAACATAAAAATTGTAGTTCTAAGTTTTTGACCTCCAATGCAATTATTATAATACATTTTTAATTAATTAATTTGAACGAATTACATGCAACTGTGTGATATGGTTGTGAACTGCTATTTTTAACTCTGCCTAGGGTTTTGCAAAAGAGCTTGCTGGAGACGTCAGCGCTCAGGGGATCCAGTGTGATATTATAGATATGAAAGAGTACGACCCCGAGGACAGACTAACTGAGGAGGTGAGCTTAGCATGTGCTTCACTGGCCCCATACAGGCTGACTTCAACTTCTTCAGATTTTTTTGTTTTGTTGCAGTAGCATGTAGTCGAGGAAGTATTAATGGATGATTTAAACTTCAGGATTTGTCATGCTTGCATGAGTATTTCACTTTCAGCTAGGGCTGCACGATTATTCGAATGTGATTGTCATGCTTGTCAGTAAAGCCGGTTCTGTGATTAGTAGTAAATCTCCAGCACGTGCTTTCAGATGGAGCAGCATTTACTACGCAGAGCCGTAGTTCACTGACAAGCTATGCAAAATCGCGTTCATAATCGCAGACGATTTAATCGCGCGATTATGAAATCGAAGAAATCGTTCTGCGATTATGAAAGCTGTTTGCGTAGCTTCTCAGTGAACTACGGCTGTGTAGTAAATGCTGCTCCAGCTGAAAACACGTGCCTTATTGAAAAGCACCACATTTAATAACGTTTTTACTCCAAACTCACTTCATAACAGCAATCGAGTGTTTTAAATAAATCCCTCTGTGAGATGATGTGGCTTCTTACACAGAATAAGGCACGCAACATATTTCATAGTATTCTAAGCAGTGATAAAGGCTATGTCGATTAGCATTGCATTATTATATACTTTATTATGCTGCTCCAGCTGAAAACACGTGCCTTATTGAAAAGCACCACATTTAATAACGTTTTTACTCCAAACTCACTTCATAACAGCAATCGAGTGTTTTAAATAAATCCCTCTGTGAGATGATGTGGCTTCTTACACAGAATAAGGCACGCAACATATTTCATAGTATTCTAAGCAGTGATAAAGGCTATGTCGATTAGCATTGCATTATCATATACTTTATTATAATAAAAATTATAATAAGACGAACTCAGATAAACCATATATTGTTGTAGTCGTGTGTTTATTAGTCACGTTGAATCAATGAAAGCAGTTAAATCTTCTGTTTATTCAACTGCAGCAATAGACATTTCCTGGATTTCTTCTTCGGGGCATATTTGGAGTTTCAGCGCGAGAGCGCCCTCTGACCTTCGGATGGAGATTTACTGCTGATCACAGAACCGTGCTTCACTGAAAGATACGCATGACAATTGCAGCTTAGCTTCTGCCTAATCGCGATTTATCGCCTTTGCGATTTAATTTCGAATTAATTGTGCAGCCCTACTTTCAGCATTAAGAATATCACAGGAATTACTATAAGCTTCATATCTTTCCATTACCACTTACTCCGATAACATTTACAGGTAATATAGATCTTCTGGCTGGCAGTTAATCACAATACTTCTCCCTGAGAAGAATGTAAAGTGATTTACCAGCCTTTTATTTCACCAGAGCTTAAATATTAAAACTCCAACCCCTGGTTGTCATGTTTCACAGACAAGGCTTTAAGCAAAGTCCCAGACTAAAATGCATGTCTAGGCTGTGTTAACTGAAATAAACTTGCACTGTGTAATAAACTGCGTTTGTTCTTCAGTCTTTGAGAGGAGTCTGTTGTACTCTTGGATAAGCGCAATGCCTCTTTCTGCCATGTCATTGGTCACCGTCAGGCTCTTGGCAGTCTCCTCAGCTGCGATGTAGGTTGCATTGTTTGCCCAAGTAACAGGATCTTCATGTAGGAAGTCCTGATGGAGATCATGAAGAAGTTGCGAGTGTTCTTTGTGACAAAGTTGCTCAAATCCTTCATTCCAATGCTTAGAAGGTGTACGTGCACTCTCTTCTCTGGCTTCTCATCCACTTCAGTCTCCATTGCAGAAACCATTGTCTTTTTTTCCTCCACTGTGACATCTGGATCAAACAGGGCCAGTGCAACCAATTCCTCACTGAGATACCAGAGGTGGTTCACCAGCTTTTTCAGGGCACGCTTTGAAGCTTTGTCATTTGAAGCAGCCATCGACTTAAGGAGGTCAATTTTTGGGTGCAGCAATTGGGAGGCAGAAGCAGAATCAAGACTTTACATAGTGCTTCACCCCGAAGACACATAGTTCCTTCATTCCTTTGAGCTCGTGTGAGCGGGAAGATGTCTCGAAAGGCAAAAATCTTCAGGGCATAAATCAGTCGTGCCATGAAGCAAGCCCAATGCATTGCCCCTGGTTTGGTGAAGCGAACTCCTCTGGGTGGGACACTCCCAAGGAAGATGATGGTGAGCTCCAACAGCTCAAGGTAGTCATCCCGAGGTTGAACTACCTCTATCTGCTGGAAGCAGAACGGAAGGATGTTGTCTGCCACATTCTACAAAGCACTGGCAACATCATTGTCATCAATTCCGGTCTTGTAGTTAACCGTGGCCATTTGGACCCAGTTTCTGTCTAATCTCTTGAAGATGCCAATATCTGGACCGGTTGATGGACCTATGGTTATGCGAAAGACTTCCTCCAACATGATCTCATGAATATGGTGGTGGCAAGCCAAGTGCAGTAGAACAACACGCAAGCTCCGTTCTTTCTGCCTGGATTGCTTGAGGTTGTGTCGAAGCAAATAGACCGAATCCAGTTTTCCAAACCCCAGTCTTTCACTGCTTCATGGAGTGCTTCTGCCAGTGCTTGTCCAGTATAGGATTAGATCTCTGCCACAATTCTGCGCACGAAAGATCATATTTTGAGCGCACAAAAGTGCATTTTGTACGCGCGCGATCTGAGTTTTGTGGAGAAAATGTTCGTTTCACAAAGAAAAAAGTATTTAGAGCGAACTAAAATAAATTTTGCATTTAAAATAAGTTTTTGGATGTGTGCAGTCCTTCTCTTTTGCGCGTGCAACGTTTCACTAGCTTGCTCACCTGATGCCTGCCCTCAGTGCTCTCTAAATGCCGACGGCTGGCTTCCTCAACACAACCCAGCCTTACAAAATGTCAACTTGCATAATAATTATGCATGCACTGTATTTTTCCTCTTCTGCTCTCCAGGAATGTTGTTATTGGTTGTCAAGGCAGCCAATCAGAATTTAGCAGCCTCGTCTCTGATTGCCCGGAATTATGGCCTATTGTAATGCTGAGTTGTGTTGAGCAAGGGAGCCGTTGGCATTTAGAGACCACTGAGGGCCAGCATCAGGTGAGCAAGCTAGTGAAACGTTGCAAATCCAAAAACTTATTTTAAATGCAAAATTGATTTTCGTGCGCTCGAAATACTTTCTTCTTTGCGAGACAAACATTTTCTCCACAAAACTCAGATCACGCGCGTGCAAAACGCACTTTTGCGCACTCAAAATATGATCTTTCGTGCGCAGAATTGTGGCAGAGATGTAATCCCATAGTCCAGTTCCAGCAGGCAACTTGAGGATGCACAGCAACTGTTCGACGCCACTTCCTGATACAATGATGGGGAGTCTGTCCACTTTCTCATCTCCTTTCAGTTCAGCCATCAGTTTTCCGTCCCAGTGAAGCATTAGACGTTTTTCGCCAGAGAACTCTGACATGAGCTCCGCAAAGCGATTCTTACGGTACTGCTGACGAGCTCGCTGAACAGAAGAGCGGTTGATATTGAACTCATTGACCCGCTGACCGGAAGCATGGAGCACAGCAGACAGTGTGTGTACAATCGCTGGTTTTGGTTCGATCTAGTGCTGAAAGGACATCCGGACTGAGAATGTTCTTCCTTCCCCTCGTACAGTTCCTCATCTTGTTAGGACCTGCTGCTGCAGCAGCTCCTTCCGCCTCACTTTCTCTGGCAGAGGCCTCCAGCACGACAGTTCTCTCAGTCCACTTCATCATCTTCTGTTCTTGCTTTGCTTTCATCTCTTCCTGCTTGGCCAGCTTTACATCAGCTCCCACCATGCTTCCCCGTCTTCCCTTTTCACGCTGTGCCTCCAAAAATGCCCTATTTTCAGCGATCTTAATCATCTTCAGCACGTCTTGGTGAGCAATGTCAAAAAGATCATTCAAGGTCTTCTTGAATTCTTCTTCGTTCTACGGTTGTGTTTTGCTCCTTCGCCCCTTGTTCTTCTTCAAGGCCTCCCATTTTCCTGCAGGGTCTTCGAGCTTCTTCACAGAATGCTGAAAAGACCTTATGGGAATGTGGGCCTTTTCCCAAAAGTCTTGGACCTCCTTCATGGTCTGCACTGCTGCTTTATGCTTCATGCCATTCGGTGCAGATATACTTGAAGAACATCGCCAATGGACGGAAGCTTGCAACCTGTTAAAGACCCCTTCTTGCTTCCAAGCAAGTATACTTCATCCTGGTTATGCAAAGTGGCCGTCTGATATCAGAAATAGTCAAAAGTTTATCAGTAAACAAAACCTTCGCTAATATCACCTCTCAGATCTGGAAGTACCTGTTGATAAAAAGATGCATTCTTTGAGCATAAATGACGACAAATTATCTGGATGGTATTTTGCATACATTACATACTTCTAGTGGAGAAACAAATGAGGGAGTGAGAAGTTTACATTTCCAATAAAAAAATTTTACCCTCCCAATAAGGATCACCCTATTAAAATATGTCAGTGCCATTGTTTTTTCTCAAGATGCAAACCAGTAATGTTTATTTCTAAGGCATGTTTATAAAAACTACTTAAATGTCCTAATTGAACTATGGCCTAAACCAGGCCCAAGAGTACTAAGAGCAAAGTAACATAATTAAACTTTTTCGTTTCCTTAAATGATTTCTGTAGCACCAGACAAAGGCAGAATGCAAAACTACATCAACAGTAAAACTGAGAAAAAATGCTTTGAATGAATGAATATTTGATAGAATTTTAATTTGTCTGTTCTCATTCTCTGAATCGGAGCAAAGCTGAGACATCTGTCACAGGACAGCTCATAGTCTAAAGGAGTTTTGCTCCTTTCAGCGTTTATACAGTGTTATAAGCACTATTATTCAGTATAATTAATATACTATTATAGTTTTTCATAATGTTTTGAATTAGATTTTTTAAATATTTAATATGTTTAATATTTCTATATAGCTTTTAATTTTTATTTATTAGTTTTAGTTATTTTAGGGTTTTTTTTGCCAAAAAAAAAAAAAAAGTTTTTTTAAAATGGTTTTAGTTTACGATAACAACCCTGCTTATAGCATGGTTTATTCACGATGCTTGCTCTGTTTTAAATATTAAGAACAGTTTAGGTGAATAACAGAAATGGTCAAGAAATGTCCAGATCACATTTTACCCCAAAATTAAAAGTTTGTTTTTTCTTTTGATTTTAGGGAAATAAGACCCAGACATTTCTTACATTTAGTGCTCTTAGTAGAGAGCTGCTTCCATGAGTACCATGTTAAATATTTCTTAATGCTCTCATATCATTTTTCTCTAGTGCACAAGCAAGATGATCTGTGTGTTCCTGGTGGCCACATACAGAGATGGGCAGCCCACTGAGAGTGCCGAATGGTTCTCTAAATGGCTTGAGGAAGCCTCCACAGACTTCCGATATGGGAAAACTTACCTGAAGGGAATGAGATACGCTGTCTTTGGGCTGGGGAACTCTGTTTATGTTGGCCATTATAACACGGTGAGACACACCTGCATTTTTCTCTCCATTTTTGACGGGATTGTGTTGAATCTTACACTAAATATATTTTCTGTATTCAGGTCAGTAAGAACATAGATAAGTGGTTGTGGATGCTGAGCGCTGCACGGATCATGACCAGAGGAGAAGGCGACTGCAACGTTGTGAAGAGCCGACACGGCAGCGTGCAGGCCGACTTCCAGGCCTGGAAAATGAAGTTCCTGAGCCGGCTGCAGGCCCTGGCCAAAGGTGAGAAGAAAGCCTGCTCTGGCAAGTGCAAGAACGGCAGCTGCAAGAATAAGAAGAAACATAAGAAGGAGGCAGAGGACAGCCACTCGCTCGCTGAGAAGAACAACTCTGAGGCAAGCCAGCCCTCCTCTCTAATGTCTTTGAACACATGTAGTCATGGTAACAGCTCTTGCACTGCACATCCTGAGAGCAGACTGTTCCCCTGCAGTCTGTGGTGCACTCATGTAAATGGGATCTGAACAGCAGGGGTAACATTACTGACTTCCGAGGAAATTTTATTCTCTTAGATGTCCCTCTCATATTCTTTACTCAAACACTTTTAGGAAACATCGTTGTCATAAAGTTAAGCCCCTTTGAGTCATATAAATGATTGCATTTAATAGCCTTAAAGACACATGAAATCAAAACTGACCCCATTTTTCCCCTTTTGGACATAATCAGACATAACAAACCGATCTGGCTCTGGATTACATTCCAAAGGGCCATTACTTGAGTGCTTTCGTAAATGTTTCCACTGACTAGAGAGACGAATGAAACAAAACCAATGACTGCTAATTAGGGGTGGGAATCACCAGAGGCCCCACGATACGATATTATCACGATACTTGTGTCACGATACAATATTATTGCGATTATAAATATATTGTGAAATTGTGTGATATATTGCACTTTATTACCTTTTTTCAACTTCAAATTATGTCCCCAAACGAAAACTTTGGCAACATCTGTTTTAACAAAAAAAGAAACATTTCTCAGTTTGTTTATCTCACTTAAACAGACAAGCTGCGCAAAACCACGTTCATATATGATCGTGGTTTTGCGCAACTTGTCAGTGAACAACGGCTCTGTGTAGTAAA